GGCTATAGATTATTCTCCAATTATTATTCTTTTATGAATATTACTTTACTTGGAATAAAATATTTATAATTGTAATGATCTTAAAAAACGATCCATCGCATATCTTCTTCATATTGTTCAGTATTATGAATATAATAATTAAAAGGAAGATTGATAGAATATACCATGAATATCTTGTGCTAGTTGGGTCGTTATTAAAATATTCAGAATAAGCATCTCTTATTGATTTGATTTTATCTGTTGTATTTTTGTTATTTGAATTTTTTAGACATAACTGTTTTGCTGAATTTCGCCATGATCCATTATAAATGTCACCTGTTTCATGATTTTCTATGTCAAATGATCCTTGGCTAGTATATGTATTGGGTGATTTAGATCTTAAAAAGTTGTGTAAATAACAACAAGCTCTTGCTCTAGCTGTTTCTCTTACCAATAAAAAGAAAAAAAGAAAACAAAGATTTTGGGCCAAAGAGTGGTTGAAAAAAAGAAATCACTTTAATTGTGAAAATCTTTTAATTGAGTTACAATTAAATCAACCAGACGATTACAGAAATTTTTTGATAATGGATGAGGCATGTTTTAATGAACTTTTAACTTTAATCACTACGTTGATAAAAAAAACAAGATACAATAATGCGAGAAGCGATTTCAGTCAACCAAAGGCTTTCTTTAACTCTGCGTTACTTAGCCACTGGTAACACCTTTGAAGATCTTAAATTTATAACGGCTATATCACCTCAATCAATTGGCAGAATAGTAATTGATACATTGTCTCAAAAATTACATACTGGTAAGAATTTTTAATAGAAATTATACTGTTATGGATGCGCACTTGGCGATTCCACACAAATAAAATAAAACGAGTTTAAATTACTTTGGCTCAAAATAATATTCTTTATTTAATCGTAATAACGTTTAATTATATGAAATGCTCTGAAATGGTCTTTAATGGTCTGTTGCGACACCTACTCTTACTCTACCTGCTACGTTCGCGAGCCCCGCATACGAGATGGTTGTCCGTTCAAAAAGGGTTTATTCAGCATATTCCTTAGACCAGTCGTATGGAGAAGGGAGTCCTGCTCACCTGTGTCACACACGTATCAGTTTACAATATGATTAAACAGAAATTTACATTTATACTACAAGAACTATAGAACAATAATACTAACAGTATTCATCGATTTCTTAACACCCCTACCCTTAAATGAAACATGGGGGCTTAATAGTCCCTATTTTCCTTTACATAAATTAACTTAAATGTTCAATTATTTTCTGAGAGCTCGGTTTCTGCAAGATTCGGCTTGTACATTTTCGTATTATTCTTTCTAACTTTAAATATAATGAAAATATTTAATACAATGAGACAACTAATAAATATATATAATATTACTATATGTACATCTATCATTAAACAACTTGGAGGTTCTGAGGGTAGTTTCTCTAAAGTATTTAATTCTTGTAAGCTGTGTGTGAATTCAGTGAGATCTTTTATGATCTGTACATTGATAATACTTTGGGGTATTAGTGAATTTAACAATTTTGTAAAAGAGTGTTTGACATTAAATTTAGAATTTTCGGGAACTAAATCAGCATAAGTGTTTGCTCTTATGTGATTAGAGGGTAGTAATAATGTTTTATCCGTGTGTATGTTCCATGCTGTGATAGTCAATCGACCTACACCATAAATCTCAAAAGTAAATGTTCTGGCTGGATTTTCGCAGTATATTGTTATTATATCAGATTGTGTGTAGAATAACCAAGAATTTGACTGAGGGAGTCGGTTCCACACAGATGCATTTGTTGTCACAAATTTTATATTGCAAGTATCGGGGAAGTTCTGTGGTTTTAACATGAGCGAAATTTCGCATATGCTTGACTTAGATTTATGATGGACCGGTTGACTATTTTTACAAAGTGTATATGATTGTACCTCCCTGCACATTTCCCATTGCTTATTTGTCAACGAGAAAAACTTTTGTGTATCATAACTAGTTGCTATAATCTCCATACTAGGGTCAATAAAGATAAAGCTCTGGCTGTCGTATATAATAGGTAACGGAATTACTTTATGGGCAATGAAATCAATGGTTTGTACTAATGGAATTTTTATTACAAATATAAGGTATTACCTTTATGACAAATTGTTATTTCAGAAATTTTTATGAAATCAGAAATAGATTCTGTTTTAATCTCAAGTGGGAAAGTCGTCCCTATTGGGATGTTTGCCTTAATTTCACGAAGTTCCGTTAACCAACGCTGGGTGTAATTTCCCATGTAAGGCAGAATCAATTATTGCCAAAAGATTTTGTGTCTCATATGCGTATTGATTCAGTAGGACTTCGAAGAAGAGAGTCTGTTCTAATAGCGATGTTCTGATCTTTATTTGATCAATGTCCTGTGCGTTTTTCTTAGCTTGTTCGCTTAGTAGCTGAATGTTCTGTTCAGGTTTTTGCTGATTTGTTAATATCTGGTTTAATGTGTTATTATGTTCTTGGTTGTCAATTCAATGATTCGAGTTTGCTCCGATGATAAATTGATATCTTTTACTTTACTTTTCACTAATTGAGTTATTTTGTTGAAGATAAATCCGAAATCAATGTTCTCAACATTACCGAATAGTACGTTGGCCACCCGACTAACGGCATTACTAAGTCCACGACGGGTTCTACTTTTAGACTGATCATTGTTTCCTATAGTTGATAAAATATTTTGGTGAATTTGATCAATTTCGTGGAGGTATGGAACTGTTGCTTTGTCGGCAGCTTTGCGTATTTTCTGGGTTTTCGATTTTCTGACGTATTTCACTACAGAGTTGAGATGTAGTATTATAAAATCTGGATAACGCTAGGTATCTCGTTGTGTAATATTCTAGATTAAGGAAATTTATTAGCTTCCAGTCGGAGTCTGTAACTTTTAATTTGCCTAGGAATTTGTAATAAAGTCCTTCCGTGTTGTTTAAATATGTTATTGCGGCTAAAATTCTGATATTCCGTCATCTTTGTTTGTACGATTATTGAGGTGACAAGCAGGTACCCAATGAATATTGTTGAATTGTTCATTTTCAATTTTCTGTAAAACATTGATGGGTTATCATTAGTATCATTCATAGAATGGTTTTAATAGGTTTGGATGAACCTTTTGCCTTTTTGCCTTTTTCTTTAGTGTTACGTATTTATTGATAGGGTCAATTTCTAAAACTTCAAAAGGGCCTAACCATTTTGGAGTTAATTTATTGATTGAGGTTTTGTCTTGTAGCAGAACCTTCTGTCCTACCTCAAAGATTCTGTTATTGGCATTTTTGTCATATTGAACTTTTGATTTGTGTTTATCTTCAATCAAATGCTTTTTAGCTATTGCATGTGATTCTTGCAATTGCTTCTTGATTTCGAACTGGTGATCCTCATAGTTATATCGAGGTTCTGGTTCTTTTAGTAAGGATGAGGGAATTGCAACTGGATTCCCATATACCAATTTGTAAGGTTGATATTTAGTTGCTGAATGAACTGTAGAATTGTGACAGAACATTGCATATGGAATTTTCACATCTCAATTCAATGGATCCTTGTCAATAAAATTTCGGAGATATTCTCCCAGAGTATGGTGACTTCTCTCCAGAGAACCATTACTCTGAGGGTGGTACGGGGTTGTTGAAGTCTGCTTTATCTTAAGAAGGTTACAGACTTCCTTGAAAACTTTGCTTAGAAACTCTGTACCACAATCGGTTACAAGGCTCTGTGGTAGACCATGCAAACACACGAACTGCGTTACAAAGTGATATGCTACAGTATTAGCTTCGCAGTTTTCCATAAGAGCTGCCCATGCGAATTTCGTTAAGTCATCGAGTAGCGTTAGGACAAAAGAATTCCCTTTATGGGATCTTGGTAAAGGTCCCACTACATCCAAAAATATCTTCTTGAATGGTCGGCTAGAAGTAGTTGTTATCATCATAGGCTCTTTAAATGGTTTATTCCCTATTTTGTTTTTTTGACATATAGGACATTTCTTAATAAAATCTCGGATTTGTTTCCTCATCCCCTTCCAGTGACACTGGGCATATATTCTGTTAAAAGTCCTAGTTACTCCTTGATGACCCCCTAGTGGTGTATCATGGAATTCGGATATTAATTGGAGTTTCTCTTCTTCGGATAATTCCTCCTTAGTATAAAAGCTTACATAGATTGTAGTATTTTTAAAAATGTAACGAAGCATTTTGCGGTTTTCCTCCCATTTGAGTCCATCCAGTACACATCCTATTCTAGAACAAGCGAGTTTGGTGATTTGCTTTTCTTCACAAAGTAACTTAAAGGACTATACAACTGAAAAAAATTTTTTTTTTATATTTTTGTAAAATATAACTAAATAATAAAAGACTATTGGCACCACTAAAAATTGTTAGCGTCCAATATTTAGCCAGTTACGGGTATTTGAAAAATACGCGTGACGTCATAATTTCGCCGCCGCCGTTTACTCTGTACACGGTTTTAAGGGAATATTACAAGTCTCGCTGTTTAAACGCGTATAACTCGGCTAATAATCAATTTATTGATTTAGACCCTTATAATAATTTGAAGCTTTAGAACTAAATTTTTAATTTAATATTATTTTATTGTAAAATTATTAAACGGTTTATTTATAAACGAATGATAAACTTTCTTAGCAATATTTTTGTATTATTAGATTTGTTCATTTCTTTACTTACGTACGCCGTTCGTATTCAATATATGAATAATATTATTGTGGTGGTTTATTAGTGTGTATATATGTACAATAAAATATGTTTGAAAATTATTTTTAGACGAATGATTAGTTAATAACATTACTTTATGTGTATTGTATTTACATCAGTGGGTATTATTATTATTAGCCATCAGAAGGACAAGTAGTCGCTTGTCAGTCGCCAGTCGTCACAAGCACAATCACAGTATACGCATACAACCTGTATATTTGTTTACTCTAGGTAATTTTAAAGTTTTGTTAGTGCTATCAAACTAATTTGTGACATGGCATTACAACCATATAGTTTTGAGCCAACAATCAACGATATTGACAGTAATTTCAATCATATGCATTTCGCTAACGAAATTTTAAATACAAATTTATGTATCGAAAACAGATCTATAAAACCAGTTAACGAATGGTGTTTATGTGAGAAGTGTTTAAATTTAAGTACTGATCGCGAGTGCGTTTGTTGTATTGAATTTGAAAATTTACAAAAACTTTGTCTAGATAAAAAATGCATTACATTAAATAAATCATTTTCTAAAATTATATTGGATGAAGAAATTTTAAATATTACACGGCAGCAAATGATCGTTAAGACTAAAAATCGAAAGAAACGTAACAACTTACGTATACTGGATAACAAAACATGGAGATTCATCTGTTATAAACAATTTACTCACTGGGTAAATTCGTGGTCCAAACTTGGTAAAGGTTGGTAACTCTAAATTCATATTAAACAAACTAGATACATAGGTATATATATTGATGAATAAATATACCTAATAAATAAATTGTTACCTGTAAACCTGAATACTTATTTGTATTGTGTTATTTAAAAAAACCTATTTGGCTATTATTATAATATAAATAAAAAATATTGCTACCTATGTACCTAAAATAAATAGAAAACAAGTTTTTAATAAATATTGTTTTGTAAAATGTTATAATTATTTGTAGGTGTACGAGTGATAATACCATCATGTGTCGTGCACAAAATCAGAGAAACTTATCCAGAAAGCAATGGAAATTACGTAGGATTCAAAGATTCTACCCAGTAAACAAATCTACGAATATTCTACGTATATTAAACGTATATACCTATACGTATGTACGTGTAATATACGTATAGATTTAGCATATTTCTAATATATGATTGGGTCAAACAATGACTATTTCACTTATATTCAACGTATAATATACATGGATAAGTGGTTTATTTAACGTAAAACATACGTGTATGTTCCGTATAAAAACGAATAATTTTTTAATAATCTCGGAAAATTATTCGTATATTTTTTGAATAATCTTCGTTTTCAACGAATAATTTAGGTTTATAGATCGTGTAACATAGATTTAAATACCGTTTGTACTTGGTATATAATTCGTTTAGAACGAGTTTAAGATATGTATATTGTTTAGTGTATTATACGTAGATTTCTTGTATAACTTTGGTTTATATAATGAATATTTTCGGTTTAATACCGTTTATTTTTGGTGTATAATTTGTTTAAACTCAGTGTAGGATAAGTATATTTTTAGGATATTATACGTATATTTTTGGTAGTCAATTCGTTTAAAACCAGTGTAAGATATGTATATTTTTTAGGATATTATACGTAGATTTCTTGTATATCATTCGTTTTTATAATAATTAGTTTTGGTATACAAATTATATTATATTATACTATATACAGTTTTGGTTTCATATAGTTTATTTTTGGTATATACCTAACAAATTATAATTCGTTTATATCCAGTGTAAGATTTGAGTAGCCAGGAGTAGCCATGAGTAAAATATATAGATAAAAAAGCAATGGCATTGGGCTGTTATTTTTTTTTTATAAAAAAAAATATTAAGTAAAAAGCTATGGGGTGGTTTAAAAATTGTTGAGTAAGAACATTTTTTTTAAATTTATAATATATTTCTCATAGTATAAAATTAATTTTAAATATAAGACATGAATACATGAGATTGTATGAATAGTATGCATACATATTATATATATTATATTATAAAATATACAATTTTGAAAAATTAAAAAAAAATTTCAACTGAATATAATAGTATTTGCTGCTATAAAACTTTTATTTTCGTCTTGGAGCTTGTTTTAGCCAATCACTGACATGTCCCTTAACTTCAATGAGTGATGAATGAGGAAAGAAATCTTTTATGCAATCTATTCAAAAATAAATAATAAGATACAGATAAATTTAAAAATATATATAAAATCTTTAAATATGTTTACCTGCCACCGTGGTAAATATTTTATATTTAGCAAAAGCTGTTTTGTCACCTCGCCTACCCTCCATATTTAAATATTCAGCTACACGATTTTGCATAATCATTTTCATAGCCATATACGTTGACCGTTTGACATCAAATGACTTGGAGTCTCTCTGTAAAATTTGAGCCTAACGAAAAGAACAAATTAATTAGGCTAACTTTCATTTGTAAAATCAACTGACAAGACAAAAATACCAATGTGCCAATTTTTCCATCATCTTGTTCAATAATATTTAAATCTTCAAGAGTATTTACAGGAATTTTTAAACTTCCTCTGTCGATAGCTTGCCTATTACCTAAAGAAGGTGTTAAGCGATTTGAATTTATAATTAAATCAGTAAGCAGGTCTTGGTTTTTAATGACATCTAATTTAATTATGGAAACTTCTTTTTGAAGACTGGTAAAGTTATTTGAAACTAAAATATCAAAACATTTAAAAATTAATTATTAATACTAGGTAGAAAATACAGTATATTATATTATATACTATGAGAATATATCAATAGGTACCATTCATTATAGCATGACCAATATTATTAATCATTTGATATAATGATGTTTCTACTTGTTCCTGGCTTTCATTTTGAGTACTCTTAAACATTTCTGGCGATGAAGTATGGAGATCCATATGTTTTTGCCCCTGAGTTGAATCTTCATTGGAAATCGGTTCAAATATATCAAACGATTCTAAAACAGTTATCATAATAATTAGTTTTTTAAAAAAAATGTTAGTATACATTTTAGTGATTTTATTTTATTTATTTAATAGAAATCATTGTACAAAGATTAATTATTATATATTATTGACAGATTTTAAATATACCTTTTGGCTTTGGTGTACTAGTATCAGATATTTTGTTTAATATACTTGGCTCATAATTTACAGCTGTATTTTCATTTTTCTCGATGGTACCATGTGTTATTTGAGAAACTAATAAAAAAAAAAAAACCAAGAACAATAAAAACTAAGTGTTGTATACAATTTTATATAATACTGAATATTAGGTAGTATATTATTTTAGTTTACATTTTTATAAACTAAGGATTTACCTTGATTCTTTGTTTTTGAATGTTGGCCTTGTTGGGTGTATACATTATTCTCATTTTCTGAAAATGAATCATAATTACGTTTCAGAACACGCTTTCTTGGCTTCCATATATAACTATTTTCAATTTCTGTAGTACTGGTTTCGCAAAAATTGGAAAGTTGACGTTTAGCTGCAGAAAAATTATCTGGTAATAAAAAAAATGTATATGGTTAGATAATATGTTCCACAGTCAAATAGTTAGAAAATAAATATAAATATAAGAATTCTCAACGTTTAAAAAATGGTAATATATAGTTAATAAAATACTCAAAAATCAAAAAAAAACTTACTAAAAAACTTCCGAGGAGAACAAGTATAGCTTTCCCAATCGTGAAGTGGTTTTTTAAGAGAGCTTGATAATTTGGAGACATTTGGTGAATTTGGCCACTGACAAACAAATTGCTTAAGAGTATTGTCAACACTAATCCAAATTGATGGTACAACATCTGTAGATTTTTCATCTAAAAACTCTACAATTACGAATCTGTACGATTTCAATTTTTCCACCACTACAATAAAATTGGCTGAGAGAAATGAATCTATAAAAAAGTCAACACTTAATTTTATATGTACATTTAATTTAAAATGGTATATTCAGTATACATAAAAAGTTATAATTTAAATCACATATACATTGATATTTTAACAATGGCTAAAATATTTATATTACCTGACATATTTAATGCAACACCAGATCTAATGTCCCAATCTTTGGAAACTTCAGCATAGCATTCAGACTTTTTAATGGGCAATTCTGCAGGCCAGTACCATTGACATATCTCCCCAATAGTAAATTTAGCCTCGTTAATAAGCCATGTTTTTGGAATAGGACTTATATTATACTTGTCTCGGCTTTGTACAACAATATAATCCTTTATGTTTTCCATTCTAAAATATATGCATAAGTTTAAGTTAAATTGTTGTTCATTAATTATTATAAGATAAATAAAAATCTTACTTAACAAATTGAATGAAGTAATGCACAAACATAAAAATTTGCCTGTGACAAATCATTTATATTTGTAATAGGGAAATAGGAAGCCTTAAATTGAATTTCTCGAATAGAAAATACTAACAATTTACTAGACAATTGACTACACTCAAAAACCCCAACTGATTTGGAAGAACAAGGCTCATTATAAGAAGGTAACACTGATTCAAACATGTTGCAAAATAAAAAGATTTCTTCATTCATTTTGCAAATATTTTTTACTATACCAATAGCGTCTGAAGAAATTATTATGCAATCATCCTTTTTTGTACTCCTATGATTAATTTTGGACACCCGTATTGTAAAATTTGACATAATTAAAGTTGAATATTGAACAACTGAACTAATTTCTAAGTCATTTGGCAATGGACCATTAAAATGATGACCATCTAAAAATGGATATTGTTTAGATGGAGCATATGGTAATACATTACATTCATGCTCTTCTTGAATACGGTTATATAATTGTACTAATGGAGCAGGTCCTGGTTGTACAATTTGTTTTACATGTTGCAAATAATTTTCAAAAGGAAATGAAGAAAAACTGTCTACAACCCCATATTTTTTACAATCATGTGGTAAGTGAATAATTGAATGTACATTATAAGATACATTTCCTCGGCCATAAACATGACAAAATGTACTTAAAAAATGTTTAGACAATACAGCTGCATATTCATGTTGAGCATAGACTGTTTTTTTACAACTCAATAATCGCATTAAAATATTGAGGATCATAAAATTGTTATAAACTTCATATTTAACAATGTTTTTAAACAGAAAAGGTCCAGTATACATCATTATCTGACGGAATTCAGTGGCTTTATAAGTATGGAACTCATTTAAATTTTGAGGAACGCGAGCAAAATCTTTACATAACCACTCTTTAACAATATCCATACGATCATTAACTTTTTCAATTTGATCTCTAGATAACCGAGTAGAACCATACGAGTTGGGAACAGTAGAGCCTCTAACCATGAAATGTAAAATTTTTTTCATTATTCCAAGACAACATAAGTGCATGTAATCAAGTGGAATGCATGAGACAAGTCCAAGACCAGAAATTTCTAACAATGGTGACACTCCTACATGATGCTCTTCATTTAAACGTAACACAAATGATTCATCTGTGCGCAACTGGGCAGTCCCCTCAGGAAAACTTATACTTCCTGATAAATAATCACCTTCTTCAGTACATTTTTCACAGGCAAAATATCCTGAATGTCCTTTTATTTGTTTAATAAATGCCCTAGCTGGGGCATCAGCTATAATACCATTAATTTTTATATTTAAAGTAATGCCATCTATAGTCAAACCATGTGCAAGCAAATGATTGAGTTCTTCAACAAAAGGTTGCAAATACTCTTCCACGCTATATGGTTTTTTTTTTCCAAAATAAGCACCAATAATAAAAGGATTTGTTAATTTAAACTCAAATAAAAAAGAACATAATATGGGCCAAAAAGATTTTCCTTTTTTGTCAACAGGAAGACCATCAATATTGAACCACAGTTCTAATACATGTAGATTCTGGACAGAGGCAACATTTTTTAACACGTGTGATAATCCATGGGATATTCCAAAATGAATATATTTACCACCTCCAATATTAGTTATATCAACAAGACCCGACCGAGGGGTAGATAACAATGTTCTTGAATCAATAGGAAGAGACTTAAGACATTCTAAGCTATCTACCGATTTCAATAATTTCAATAATTTGGTTGCATTGCTTCTTGGAAGTCTTGATGATATAATGAATGAAGCTAGCTTAGATTGAAAAACCAATGGATCAGATAAAGTACTGTTAGAAGTAGAGCAATTTTCAGTTATGATAACATTTTGTTTTTCTGAAGAAACAATACCTATAGGAAAAATAGTCTCAATATTAATAAGAGGGAGAGTTGTAACTTCAGTTTCTTTTATTTTAGGATGTACATCTTGGTAAGATGGTAGAGAAGGAAATTTATATTCATCAGTGCTAGGAAGTGATAATCTTTTCACTTTACAACCCTTGGATAAATTGCAGCTTGACTTGAATGAGAACTTTGGCATATTTATTTTGTATATCCACAAAATAAATATATTGATATATGGTTACTATTCAAGAAAATACAAATAAATAAGAATTATATAATAATATGTAGCATATTTTTAACTATGACCAGGCACGCCAATAAGGGGGGGGCAGGGAGGGATTTATCCCTTAACAAAAATTGTCAAGCCCCTTACAAGCACCACCCAAAATCAGTGTTGTTAAGAAACGATTTCTGGGATTGATTCCTTTTTAGAGGAACGAATGAAGGAATAAATTTCATTATTTTTTAAAGGTTTTTAAAGGAAGTTTAAAAAAACATTTGGGGAGAAAAATTTTGCATTTTTGTCTACTTATCAGGTTTTTAATCTATAGCAAAAATAATAGAAGAGACTACCAATTTTTTATTCACATATGACTTTGTGTTCTGATTAGTGTTTATGATAATAACTAATAACTCATGAGGAACGAGGAAAAGAAGTTCCTTTTTCATAGGAACTAGGAATTGAACGAGTTCCTTTTGACATTAAATGAACGAGGAACTGAACGGATTCCTATATAATTGATAATATTAATTATTTAGTTCTTATAAAAATTACATATGACGTTCCTTTACATTTTCAACAGCTTTGTTAAAGAATGTCATAATATGTAATTTTTATAAGAACTAAATAATTAATTTTATCAATTATTATTTTTAAATATTGATAATTTAAATAAAAATTATACCTTCATTAGTTACTTGAGTATTTTTATAGTATTATAAATACTTATCCAGAACTTAGATTTGGAGATTGTTGTTGATAAATTTGTGGCTTCTCACAAAGAATTTTATTAACATGAACTTATAATTTTTAATTGATTATATAAATAATTGATAATTATTTTAAAAAAATCATACAAATTATCTATTTAGAACTTAATCTAATTAGACTATAAAAACTACATTAGTATTTAAAAAAATACTTATATCTGTAAATGTGTACTTATAGTTATATTATGTAAAATTAAATGAAATCAGATATCTGAGTAAACACTGAGTAAAGCTGTACTTTTTGAAAAAATATATGCCCAGGTGTAAGGCATATATTCTGTACAAAAAGTATCTGTTTCACTCCACTCGGGAAAAAAACTCTATAGCCGTGCCTGCCTAGTCACTAATTATAATAAATGTACTGACACTTTAAAATAAAAATTAAATACTCACATTTATGACAATATTTCTTGTGATGTAGTTCTTTTAAATGAATAACAGTAGTGTTGAATACGTGTTAGGTACTTAGGTGTATACACTAAACAATGTCGCAGAGACGCAGACTGCAGAGTACACTATAGTACAGACGATTAGACGATAGTGAGCGGCGGGTGCGGGACAGAGTAAGATGGTGGCGTTGGCCGGGAATGACGGTGGGGACTGGGATACCCTGGCAAATAAACAATCGGCCTTGGAACGTTTAAATATTTATAACTTATTAACGGGATTCCCCAATCCACAATGATAATTGAATAGTCCTTATCGGGATTGTGCAAAGTGCATGATACATTGATATAACCCAGTGGCAGTGCGGGGTGCGGTACTGTGAACACTGCCCACTATATTATTATTATGGTAACCACGATTAAAGATATAATTATATATTTATATCTTTAATCGTGATGGTAACGTACTAAATATGAAGGTATATCATTAACGATATTTCGACGTAAGTTCGACTTACCAATGATCAACATATGAATGTATGATCAACGTTGAATAAACGTACACGTATAACGAAAAATATACGAGTATAGGTGTACGTACTGTAAACGTAAAATATATGTATATTATTAACTATATTTCAACGTAAGTTCGACTTACATATCACAGATCAACGTATAGATTACGTTGAATAAACGTACATGTAAAACGGAAAATATTCGAGTAAGGTGTACAGTACTGTAAACGTAAAATATATGTATATCATATATCATATTTCGACGGAAGTTCGACTTACCAATGATCAACGTATGATCAACGTTGAATAAACGTACATGTAAAACGAAAAATATACGAGTAAGGTGTACGTACTGTAAACGTAAAATATATGTATATCATAAACCATATTTCGACGGAAGTTCGCCTTACCGAATGATCAACGTATGATCAACGTTGAATAAACGTACTTTAATCACGGAAAATATACGAGTATAGGTGTAGGTATTGTAAACGTAAAATATATGTATATCATAAACCATATTTCGACGGAAGTTCGACTTACCAATGATCAACGTATGATCAACGTTGAATAAACGTACTTTAATCACGGAAAATATACGAGTATAGGTGTACGTATTGTAAACGTAAAATAAACCTATTTAAACGTATATTATACCGTTATTATACGATTAATAACTACGTATATGTATACACCAAAATTAGTCTTATTATAAACGTAGGTTATACGTGCTGTGTTTACTGGGTAATGTTCTACCATCATAAACCATTTTCTATATTAATGAACAATATAATTTTAATTATATAACTGTTTTACAACTCTTAATTATTTTTGACAATTTAGATTTAAATTTGTAAAACTACTGTTTCCAGGTACAAATACTATAAATTGTAAAAAAAAATATAATATTAACAATACATTTAAATAAAATGTTTATTGTACACATTAAAAATATTTTAAATTAATTAGCGAGAAGAATATCTACTTATTAGACGAAAATCTAGAAAATCGTTTCGCTTTTAGATCATCTAAATCAGGCTTAGTTACCGGAGCAATATTTTTTGGTGCGTTTTTATTACTGTATGTGAACTGTTCACAAACAACGGGTACTCCATTTCTAATTGCAGTTTGTATATTTTCTAATAGAACACGCCGCCACTCTGATTTTGTTGGTTCAAAACGAGTCTTTATTGTATATTTTCGAAGGCTTTTTGAATACACCACTTTTTCTCCAATAGGATTTTTATTTAAATTACTGTTGTGGTCAATAATTGCCAAAATTGATCTAATATACATACCGTTGTATTTCAAATGAATTCTTTTGGGCATATATTTGAGTCTGACATTATGGTATGACTCTAGTCTCCCTGTATGAATAAAATGTTTAGCATGTGCCAAGTCTTTTATACAATCTTTAGCTGTGATTATTTTTTTTAGAGCAAAGTAAGATTCACTATTTTGATTTATCCAAAGTTTATTGCGTTGTTCATCGTTTGATAGTGGTGCATGTTCACATTTTATTAATTCGCCATCTTCAACCCATTCGTGTATATTACTAATATGCTTCAAAATAGAAGTAAATTTCTTCACTAACAAATCTCCGTCACCATGGCATGTTTGCGCTGACCACCATAAATGGTTGCTAATACTGGTTTTCCACAAAAACGCATCAGGATATTTTTTGTCTAATGTTTTCATACGTTTCATTAAACTTTTAGAAATATGCCATATGTCGAACTCATGTTCAATATTCGAATGATTTATTCTCATGTCACATCGAATACCCTTATGTCTATCGGTAAGAAAAATATCTATTTTGCAATTTTCTTCATTAACTAATTCGTTAAGCAACGATCCACAAGCATAACGTTCTAAATCACCTTGAACCATTAATTTTTTAACTAATTTAAAACCAATTATTTTTCCTGTCTGCACGTCCATAATTGAATAAGTACAATATTTTGCACAGAATCCAGGAGAGTCAAATTGTCCATCGCCCGCAAGCCAAATCTTATTAGACCCATTTTTAAGTTCTTCCAAATTTTTTTTTTTTCCTTTTCCTAAACATTACAAATAACTGGCCCAATATAAAGTTTTAAAAATTTATCATATATAGTTCTCGTAAAAAAGTTAAGTTTTAAAGTATTACAAAATACAGTCATTTGATTGAAAAGAATTCCCGACAGTGTTAATGAAGCAGCTATTAATATATTACCTTCTGGTTGTTTACCATTCTTTTTTTGAGAATTCCACTGGAACGTATGTCCTTTTTCACATTTTGTTGTAATTGAGAGTAATGCACCTTGAAGATAATGTTTTTTTGCCACTACGGAAGAAAAACATTTACGGCACGTGTCAAATAATTCAGATAAACACTCCCAAAATATAATAAAGCATGAATTATTACTAATTTTATTTGAATTATCTGTAAGTTGTTGTGATTGGTCATTATGATCACTTTCAAAAAATTCCTCAAACTCTTCATCTTCTTCTGACAAATCATCTTCCGATGGCAGATCAAACGATAATTCATTTACGTTGTCACAACGTAAATAGTCATTTTCGATGTCACATTGTATACCAACATCATTTGTACCAAATTTTATTTATTTTGATTTTATTGTACTTGTAGAAGCACTATCAAAACTGCCGTCTACAGATTCACTTTCTGATATATATGTTTCGATGTTATTGCATGAATTGTTATTTTTTTTCGGTGTACTTGTTTTGGCAGTTACTGAATTTACCATATTTTGCAATTTTGTTCTAGAAGAACGTTGCGAATGGTTTAACGTTTGATTAGAACCCTGTTGTGAAAAAATAGTAGGGAAAACACCAGCATTTAAATGAACAAGGACCTTAGAATTCGGCATAAGTTTTTGACGAAGTAAATCAGATTGATTTAAATCATTTTCGTTAAAATGTTTTGAACATATTACAGCTGATTTTCCTGGAACGAAATTTTTTCTTTTACAGAAATCACTCCATTTTTTAAATCGTTTAGGAGATTTTTCTCTTTTAGGAAATGTAAAAAAATGTATTTTTTCTGGGCCTGTCTTAACACCTTCTTCACTAAGATTAGAACAACCATAAACGGAACACAACATTTTAATAGGTGTAATCTTTTATTTTATTGTATAAATATAAACTATACTGCGCATACGAAAACTAAACATACGATTACACGAAACACGATAAGTACGGACTCCCGACGTACGACTGAGGCCTAGACGACTAGACAGTATTATTTATATTAATTATTACAGTTTTTATTTTGACACACCACTGGGCAAATATTGTTATTTATATTACGATAAACACAACATTATACTAAGTTAAACAATACTGTAAATATTATCTACAAACATGTATAAATATAGTTACATTTACACAATAATACGGTGGACAACAGTCCTAAAATAGTCTACAGTCGTATAAATAAATGTTTGTTTAATTTTTAATTGAATCATATAATGAACTTATTATTGTAAAAAACATGCAATAAAAGAAACATTTGTGAACTTTAAATTATTATAAAGGTCTACATCAATAAATTGAGTATTAGCCGACTTATAAGAGATTAAACAGCGAAAGTCGTATTACTCCCGTAAAATCGTATACAGAGTAATCGGCGGCGGCGAAATTATGACGTCACGCATAATTTTCAAATGACTGCCGCAGGCTAAATAATAGTTGTAAATATATTTTAATGGTATCTCTGTTTTTATTTCACTTAATACTATATTTTAAAATCGACTTATTTTTTTGAGTGTTATGGTCCTTTAAGGCCAATAAATTACTCATACGTGTATATTATTATATAAATACAAGTCGTACTGTACAACGTATGATGAATCTTAAGTATACTTTTCGTGCACTCTTCAGCCAAAAAACTTTAAATCAATTAATTCCAAAAATTATGTAATTAGTGATTTAAGTTATTATTATTATTATTATTATTTATTTAAGTTCATCAACTTCAAGTTCATCGACCTGCACCTCTACATTACCTTTACCTTCATCTTCCGATTTCGCAGAAAATGATGACTCTGATGGCATAAGTGAAGTGGAAGGTCCAGTTAACTCAAATGTTGAACATAAGTCACCAGTTAGTCGAAAACGCAAAAGACCTAATGTATTGAAAGTTCAAAAATCTAAATTTGCGTGCAGTAACGAACGAAGAGAACTGATTCATGAATCATTAGCAAAATTAATATCAATGAATCAACTGCCAATTTCATTTTGTTCGAGCATAGGATTCAAAAATTTTATGGCTGTCGTTGAGCCCAATTATAAAGTTTGTAAGCAAGAAGCAATGAAAGCTAGAATAAATAGATTAAAAAAGTTAGTTGAAACAAAAATAAGGGAAAATCTACATCAGACAAAAAGTATCGTTTGTACAACTGACGGCTGGTCTTCGTTATCTCAGGATTCATATATTACCGTAACTGCACATACAATTGATTTACATTGGAACGTTAGCTCTTATACCCTTAGCACGCATGAAATGGAAGAACGCCATACAGCTGAGAATCTAGCGATTCAATTGGGCAATACATTTAATGAATGGGAAGTTAACAGTAAAGTCATAGCTGTTGTCACCGACAATGCTAGGAACATTGTTAATGCCATTTCATTAATATCTACAAACATCAGCAGTGTCACATGTGCAGTTCATTCACTTCAACTTGCTATCAACCATTCGCTAAGACAAGATAATATTCAATTATTGGTTGAAAAATGTAGTAAACTTGTTTCTCATTTTAAGCATTCAAATATAGCGAAACAATCATTAGAAATTAAACAAGAACAGCTTGGTATGGCAAAAACGGCTTTGATTCAATACTGTAAGACACGTTGGAATTCTACCTTCATGATGTTATACCTTAATCGATCTCCATTAGCTAACGTCATAGCTGATCGAACTATTACAAGTGCAACTATGGCACCAAAGTTTGAAATTACAGATAGCCAATGGGCTAGGGTAGAATTTCTTATCAAAAAACTCAAACCACTACAAATAATAACGCAACTATTTTGTGATGAAAAGCATTCTCCCGTTTCAATGGTCAGACCATTACTACAAAAAGTAATAGAAAAACATTTATCAATAAATGACACTGAAGATGATATTGAAATATATTTCAAGCAATCACTTATAACACAAATAAAAACCCGTTTTAATCTCGAATGGACATCCTCAAGTACTGTAAGCCTAAGTCAAATATCTTCTTTACTCGATCTAAGGTATAAGGACTTAGAACATGAGTCACTTGATTCAAGAGATGATATTCGAAAAGAGTTGCAAAATATACTTGAAACTAATTATCCACAGGTTTCAGTTACGGAACATACAAAAATTCACATACAAGTGCCATGGAGTTCCTATACGGTGACGAAATGATCGATATGAATGAACCAAAAACACAATTACAAGGTTATCTGGCTGAACCTCAACTAAGATTTGATTTGGATCCTTTTGAATGGTGGAATACAAGAACAATCAAGTATCCAATCATTTCCGAATGTGCGAAGAAATATCTCACAATACCAGCTACATCAGTCAACTCTGAAAGATGTTTTTCAACTGCCGGAAATATTGTTACACCAAAAAGGAGCTGCTTACTCCCAGAAAATGTAAACACGTTAGTTTTTTTTTATCAAAATAGACATTTAATTGATTAATATATTTATAACCTTATACAAATTATTATAATTATTGTTAATTATTATTTGTTTTGTTGTTAATGTTTTTTGTTTAATATTAATTATAATTTATAATGTTATTATGTTCTCTAAGACTGGAATGTGAGACTAATATCTTCTATTGATATTGTATATTTATTAACATTTATAATACATTATCAATTATTATATATCATTAAAAACACGTGTTATATTAAATACAAGTGTAATATTAAACAGGACTTGAAATCGATTTTCGTTACCGATTTTGAATACCGGTTTAAACCGTTAAAAACCGAAACCGAAATCGGAAAAAATTGATACCGGTATCCAAAACCGAAATCGGAAAAAATCAAAACCGGTTTCCAAAACCGAAACCGAAATCGGAAAAAATCAAAACCGGTATCCGAAACCGAAACCCCTTATTAACATAGAATCCCCCACTGTCTTCAAAAACAAATCAATTATATCAATACAGTTTTCCAACAACAATTCGAGTCCCTCAACCATAGGCTCGGTGAGTATAACGAGAAGTTCCAGGAACTATCCATTCAGGTAGGGGAAGTTGAAATAGGCATCACCCAGCAGTTAACCCGAGTCCAGAATGAGTTTCATGAGGATTTTTTCACCCTACAAAGTCATATCGCTGATGTTCAAACTAGTAATAGTAGTTTCCATGATACCACACTCCAGGATAGCATGCAACATACTTATAGTGTTCAACAACAGATAAATGCACAAATCCAATCTCTCACTGGTCGTGTTTGTTTCATGGAAGGCCAGTCTGCTCGACTTGCTGCAGTCGAGAATAAAATTAAAAATATCTCTTTCACCTCTCCAACTCCAGCCCCACCTCCACGTACAACACAGGCTGCTTCTCAGCTTCCCCCAATATCTATTTCACACAACTCCCGTTCAAATATTCTATCATCAACAGTTTTATCTCAAGCCCCTATCTCTAATAATATGATTCTATAGTGTTATAGACAAAACTAACTAAATGATAAATATTTTTTTTTTAAATATTTTTTTTTGTTTTTTTGAAAAATATGATATTGGTCTCCAATTATTTTCATCATCTTCTTTCTGTTGAAGTACTCCTCCAATTGCATAATTTGATGCATCAACTACTAATGCAATGGTAGAATTGGTACGTGGGTGTGTTAATGTTGCTGCATTAATTAGATCATCTTTACATAATAAAAATGATTGAATAGCTTCTTTACTCCAATTAATTGGTGTCTTATCATTTTTCTTGGATTGTTTTAAATAATCGTTCAGTACCCCTTGATTTTTGGCTGCATTTGGTAAGAAACGACGATAAAAATTTAACATGCCTAAAAATCGTCGAAGCTCCTTGACGGTCTTTGGTCTGTCATATTCTTGAATTGCTTTTACCCTTTCTGCTGCAGGTGTAGTACCGTCCATAGTAATATCAAACCCTAGGAAACGCACCTTATTTTGGCCAAAAACACTCTTTTGAACATTAATATTTAAATTAAATTTAGAAAGTTGTTCGAATACCTTTCGTAAATGTACCTTATGTTGTTCCAAATTGTCTGATGCTATTAGGATGTCATCTATGTATACAAAACAGAATTCAAAACCCATAAAAACTTCGTTCACAAAACGTTGGAATGTTTGGGCTGCGTTTTTGAGTCCAAATGGCACTCGCACAAATTCGAATAGACCAAAAGGTGTTGTTATTGCTGTCTTTTGTATGTCATCAGCATTCACAGGTATTTGGTGATAAGCACGCTCTAAATCTAGGGTAGAAAATATTTTCTTACCAGCAAGTAACTGATTGAAGTCTTGAACATGTGGAATAGGATAACGATCTGGTGTAGTAATACCATTTAAACGTCTATAATCACCGCAGGGTCTCCATTCTTGGTTACTTTTTTTTACCATTTGTAATGGTGATGCCCAAGGACTATTAGATGGTCTGCAAATTCCCAAATTCATCATATTCTGGAATTGCTTCTTAGCTGCCAATAGTTTGTCTGGGGATAGTCTTCTAGGTTTTTCAAATACAGGGGGGCCTTGTGTTTCAATAAAATGTGATGTTTGATGTGTGGTTGTAGCTGTATATGCTTGTGGTATAGTCACTGTAGGAAACTCATGTAAAATGTCAGCAAAGTTATGATTGTCAGCATATGTTCTAATTGAACATACAACTGCATTTGATTGTATACCTACTGTTGATAACTTGGTAGTATTGTCAATTAATCTATGATTGCGAATATCAACTAAAAGGTTGAATTTATGCAAAAAATCAGCACCTATAATTGCCTTTTCAGTGTCAGCTAATATAAAAGACCACTGAAATAAACGTCGAAGGTTAAGATTAATTGTTAGTGTTCGTTCACCATAGGTATTTATTGTTGTGTTGTTTGCTGCAAATAATTTAAGATCATTAGTTTGTTTATTTTTGTGTTTACAAGGCAATATGGAAACATCAGATCCTGTATCAATTAAATATTGTATATGAGAATCGTTGTCCTTGATCATAAGCCTTTTGCTGTTTGCTAGATTGTGATTTGATTGTTGTGTGGTTTGGCAGCTTTTTAAACCGATATCCGAGGCTGCCGTCTTGGATCGGTCTATTAGTTTCCCTCGTGTTGATTACCTTTAGAGGTAGTATACTCACAAGGATCTACACACTTCCTGGCTTTTTTACCAAAATTATCATGGTAAAAACAATAACCGTTTTCGCCCATCCTCCATTTTCCATATCTTGCGCGTGAAACTGAACGTGATCGCGATGTTTTACTTGTGCTTAATGAACGGGATCGGTTGTCGTTTCGGTTGGCGGCGACTTTTAATTCGTTCACTTCTTTTACTAATGTTTTTAATATCTCTGTTGTTGATTCGGAAACTGTATTAACAATCATCCGTTGTTGGTCGATCTCAGAAATCTTGTCGGCAAGTCTGGCAAGCTCTTCAATTGTCCCAGTACTCATTGTTAGACAAGATTGTGTAGTTACCGGTAGTTGTTGTAACCATAACGTTTTAAGTAGTTGCGTGCTACATGCCATTCCTCCCAGTCTTTGCATTTCGTTTAGCAGCATTGACGGTCTCTTATCGCCTAAACGCATGTCTCCTAGAAGTCTGCGTAATTTTGATTCTTGACTATCGGTAAATAATTCGATGAGTCGATTTTTCAAAGATTATATCTGTCGGTATCCGGGGGTTTTTGAATGATGTCAGACACCTGTGATAATATTTCAGTGTCAACTGCACCTACTATATGGTTATATTTTGTCAAATCGTTCGTAATTCCACCTAAATGGAATTGTGCCTCTACCTGTGCAGACCATATTGCCGGATCGATCTTCCAAAATGGCGGCACTTTGACAGTAACACGATTAACGGTCGCAAAGGCTGGATAGTTGTTCGAGGTTAACGAATTGTTTGTGTTGGCGTTCGTATTTTCGTTTTCCATAATGTTATTTACCGAGGTCACCAATTATAGTGTTATAGACAAAACTAACTAAATGATAAATATTAATATAAATGACTTTATTATAGGAACACTATTAAAATTAATAATTAAACAACATTATATTAAAATTAATAAGTGGCAGTAGTAATACAAAGACGTGGACGCCATCACGAGACAAAAACATACAGTGTTGCCAAGCTACATAATTGTCCCTAAAATTCCCTCACACTCTATTTCAGCCATTTATAATTCTCAGCAACCTTTCAAATAATGTCTCTCAACTCTCTAGTATCACTATGGATCCCAACCGGATACCGAAATATAACGGGCAGCTCACTCCGGTACACCCTGCAGACTTTTTGGACAAAGTTGATCACTACTTCTTAATACATAACGCCATTGATCAGGTTAAGATTAATTTTGTCAGTGATAACTTCACCGGGAAAGCGTTATTGTGGTATACTACCCTGTTACCTCCCCCTCTAATATATACTGAGTTTGTTACATTGTTCTGTGACTATTTCTGGTCTCCCAGCCTTCAAAGGCAGATTCGAAATGAGTTGTATCGTCCCTACCATCATGAAGATCCCTCCACTCTGTCCGAACACGCCAGGGACTGGATAAACCGTGCCCGAAATTTGCAGCCCCCGATAGAACAAGTGGAAATGGTTGACCAAATTATATCCCACTTTTCCTACCATCTCTCTCTTGCGCTCCGAGGTCTCAGGGTTCTCACAACGAACGACTTAGTCAAAGAACTGACATATCTTCAACGTTCAAACGGCCCCTCAACTACTTCGAATACTCACAATCATAACAATTCAGATTCTCATTCTCAACAACCGAATTCATACAACAACTCTTCATGCCCTTCTCGTCAAAATAATTACCCTTCTCGTCAAAACAATTACCATAGGCCCCAATATCATCAACCTCCGAATCAAGCTCTATCTCAACAACCCGACCAGGTAACACCGCCTACGGAAAACTAGTTCCGACCAGACCCGTGAGGATGTGTCCTGTGTCCCCCACTCAAAATTCTCAAATATCCATACTTACTTATCCATTAGATCTCAATCAGGAAATGGTAATCCCCCCAAAATTATCGTCCCGAAATTACAATTAGCCTCTTTAATAATGAACAAACTGCTCTTCTGGATTCACGTTGGTATATTTAGTTAAAACCACGCTGTCACGCTGGTAGTACGCAATAACTTGTTGTACATTTCGATTATTTGGCAATGGATCTGTGGAACTTACCAACTACGGAAAAAAATGCTGTAGCTTTTTTTCAAGAAAAAGGCATTTTACCACATCAACGAATCTGTTCGAACGGTCACAAGGCACAGTGAATCATTCTTATCATTTCGTTGATCCAAGTACACATGCTCACACACAAGGAATAGAAAGACTTTGGGGATCGGCGAAATGGAGAAATAAACGTCATAGAGGTACAGCGCGACACCATTTAGAATCTTACTTGGCAGAGTTTATGTTGAGGAATACTAGTAGTAAGCAAGGTACGTTCACCACACTTACCAAAATTTATTTTCAACATAAAATCTGTTTAATATTACAGAAATGAAAACTTACAAAAATTTAGACATATTACAATAAATATTTTAAGCATTACAGATATTTAGAGTTATTTAGAGATATTACAATAATTTAGATATATTATAACAGATATTTAGAGTTATTACAATAAATATTTTAAACATTACAGATATTACAAAAAAATTCTTTAAATTCTGTTAAATATTACAAAAATTTAAAATTTAGACAATACGTATAAATTTTCCGCCAATCATAAATAAATAAATTGCAAACAAATAACAACCAAAGTATTTTCGTGTTTTTTTTTTTTTATATAGTATATGAACAAGTATATTTACAGTACACCATTAGCTATTCCGTTTATAGGATAGTGCTATTAATTCGTAATATCAAGTTTTCTGACGTCATATAGAACATTCTAGAACAGGGGTCTCCAAACTACGGCCCGCGAACAAGTTTTAACCGGCCCGTGGCCCGCATAGGGCGCATAGGTAAATATAGATAAAAAAATTATTTCAAAAATTTATTTATATTATATTATATTTATACCTATTTATTTTTATTTAAGTACTAGCTGATCCCGTGCACTTCGTTTCCCGTTAAATGTATGCCAACCCTTTATGACTCAAACTCTGTTCAATTCGTTATTTAATATTCTGTGTATGGTGTTCAAAATGTATTCGTTAAAAATCGTACCTCTTCAATGAATAAAAATAACAAATATAATTACATATTTGTGTATCACCTCCCCGTCACTTGACTCGTCCTGTCCAGTAGATTTTTAATTTTCCAATTTTTTTGTTCCTACACATGTTATATTCGACGCAAAAAATTCTCCTGAACAGAACCGTCACCCTGGTGATAGTGCGTTCTGAATAAAAAATAATTAAATAAAACATATATAATCATTTATAAGTAAGGAATTCCTTTTTTGTTAATCATTTCAATTATAATTATTAACAAAAATCAGTTATATATTCATTGTAGTGCTTTGTGGTATACGATGTTTTTTGTTTGATCACCTGGCGCATAGACAAACAAATCTGATGGTTTCCCAACACGGGAACAGGCAACATATAATTGACCATGTGAGAAACATAGGTTTTCCAAATTAATACCACAAACACTTAATGATTGCCCCTGGGACTTGTTTATGGTCATAGCAAAAGCAAGCCGCACTGGAAACTGTAGGCGTTTAAACTCAAATGGCACATCAGTCGGAATCATTGGGATGCACAGTATGAGAACATCCTCTCCTTTAAACTTTCCTTTCAGTATAGTTGCTTCTATCACGTTGTTCAGTAATTTTTTTATCGCTAACCGTGTGCTGTTCCACAGACGCGGTTGGTTGATATTTCGCAACATTATAACAACCGATCCAACCTTTAATTTAAGATTTTGAGGTGGCAATCCTGGTAAATCCAGCGAGTTTAAAAATTCCGGTGGATAGTTGACTACATCATCTTGGGTAGTTGCCGAATCAACTGATTTATATATCCTCGATTCACCTGTAATTTGTTCTTGAATTTTTAAATTTAATTCATTTACATCTATGTTTTTTGCAGCCAATATAGCTCGTTCGCTAAACCAATCATGGTTTCTGTAATTGCGAGCAATATCTGGATACACCTTTTGAATAAGTTCATCTTTTGATCGAGTTAACTGACAAAAACTTCGAGGAAAGTTAATGCAACCCGTCAACATGTCTACATGAAATTTGCCATTACCAATGTCTATGAGTTGTTTAGAGAATATGTTTCCAGATTGATCGTTTTGCAACTCGACACGCATATTCTTGCTTAAATGAAGTATTTTGACATGTTTCCACAAATTGGATGATTTTAGACATGCATTAAGTTCATCAGCTGGCGTTGATCGTGGAATCACTGGCAATGTTTGCCGAAAATCTCCTGCTAATAAAATCATTGCACCGCCAAATAGGTTATGATTGCCCCGTATATCTTTTAAGGTTCTGTCTAAAGCCTCCAACGATTTTGTATGTGCCATCGTGCATTCATCAAAAACAATCAATTAACATTCCTGCAAAACTTTTGCCATTGCAGATTTCTTCGAAATGTTGCAGCTTTGAAATTCATTGCTTTGCATATTTAATGGCAATTTTAGTGCTGAATGGGCTGTTCGACCACCTTCAAGCAAAGTTGCTGCGATTCCCGAGGAAGCGAGTGCAAGTGCAATTTTATTTTGTGAACGAATTGTTGCTAATATTAATGAAATCAAAAAAGTTTTTCCTGTACCACCAGGTGCATCCAAGAAATATATCCCTCCAGTATCATAATTTGTTACTTTCATAAGAGTATCAAATACATACTTCTGTTGTTCATTCAACAGTGGAAGATTTTTTTGAATTAATTCTTTCAAAGTGTTGAGATCATACGTTTTTTCTCGGTGCACCTCTTTGTTAAAAACATCATGCATTGTACGATTGGGCGCGATCAGGCCTAATTGAATTAATAGTTTGTTTGACATCATCAAGCACATGTCCTCAATTGAAATCAATGCTTCGTTAAAAATTTCTTCATTGATTTGTATATTTAGATTTCCCATTCTATTCCGTATTTGATACAAAATATCATCACACAATATATGATCCTTGTACTTGATCCACAAATCTATTGGCTTTGATGGGTAGCATGTACATATGATTATAGAAAACAATGTTCGTATTTGTTGAGCACTTGATGATATTACAGCATCATTTAGAGTTTGATCCCAATGATCGTCATTTTCTAGCAATTGCAAACGTTGACAGGCTTCTCTGTAGGATCCACACAATTCACCATCAACAGTTCGTAAATGTTGGAATGATGTTGGGCCACGTACATTGACTAATAGCAGTCGTAAATAAAAACATTCATCATTAATGGGATGTACTGAATAAATTCGACCAATCACATCGGTGGAATATACATCTGGGTATTCTTGAATTGGTTTTCCTTGTTTCAGTCGTATAAATTTCCTTGAGGATTTATTCCAAGTATAATATTTTGGCATTTCAGAATATAACAATGATTGTGCAAAATCATCGTTTTGGCATGTCTCAAAGAAACTGGTTAATGTAGTAGAAGGTGGCTGAGCTGCTCTTTGTACTGCGTTCTGTGGTGTAAAATACACTCTTTGTCCATTTTCTAAATGCACAGCTAAATGAACAACTGAAGGGTGTCTCTCATGAATGGGAAAAGAAAATATTCGCCAAACTGCTTCATTACTACTAACATATCGGCCCATTTGGTATTGGGTAACTTCATCATTGCAATTCTCTGCACCAATTCCAATCACATCCATATCACTCTCTTTGGTTACATATTTGCAAATGTATTTAATGGATTTCACTGTATGGCAAGATTCAACGTTTATGTGTGCTTTGAACTTCTTTGATAAAATTGGTGAATATGGAACAATCCAACGATTATCTATTTCAATATCTTGTTGATTTAAATTTGACAATTGTTGTTCTTCCATTGTCTACTCTTGATCGGCGACGATACAGTGGATAACCATCATTGCCAGTAATTGTTTCTGATATTAACGTCCTTGGATATCGTTTTGAACATTTACCATCCATCATACACGGTGAATTTTGATTAAGAGTACCACATGGACCATGTATCATGTTTTTGATAACAACCTCATGCAATTCAGGATCTAATTGTACATTTATTTTACAATTAGAAAATATTTTTATTTACAGGTATTTCAGCTGATATCACTGCATCAACTTCATTTCGCCTTATCTTTTCAACCAACCAAATCAAAATGTGTGCATGTGGCAACCCTCGTTTCTGCCACTCCACAGAATACATCCAGCAGCGTGTCTCACCAAACACATAATGTTTCACGATGAAATCCATTAAAGATTTCAACTTTTGTCTAAAGACTCTGGCTGTAATGTCATGACGATCAATGGGTGATTGCCCAAGGAATAACTCCTGCTTGATTTCTATCCATTGCGGATTGCATGTAAATGTAATGAACAAATCTGCTGTACCATAATGACGAACATACGACATGGCATCTTGAGCATATTCGTGCATATGTCTAGGACTTCCGATGTATGTTGCTGGAAGAATAATCATCCGACCAACATTCTGTGCATTTCCATCGGTATTAATCGCATCTCGAAGGTGGAATATACTCTTCAGATCGGAGTTTGGTCTGATTCAACCTGATGAATGTTAATCTCTCCGTTTCAATTTTAACATACATGTCAACAACATATTTGTGATATAATCGCCGACATTTCAATATGTGATTGTCTTCATTTTCCCGAATCATTAGGCGGTATGAATAATAGTTCATTGAACTGACTTTTTTGTTTGTTTCAGAACCTGTAAATATATTTTGTTTTTATAACATTTAAATATAAAATTAAAATACATAATATGGTTACTGATATATTACCGCCATCGCTAAACTAATATTTTAATTACCTGTAATTGGATTTATCATTTTTATTGAGAAATCATAGCCATCTTCACCTTGCCAAAATATAATAGGATATTGTAGTGTATCATATGAGCGGTGTGTTTCATTTATACGTTGTAATCGATCATTCCGACGATGTAAAACAATATCACGGGATTCCAAGTTTTCTCCAACTACAACGACGGCAACTTCATCAATAGTTGGTGCATTAAAACGTCTTGCATGTTTTTTTAATACAAATTTTTTTAAGGTCTTCCCAGTAATTTTTTTTTATATTTTATTCAAACAATTAAATTGAATAAATATTGTCTATAACATTTCCATGGCAACAAAAAAATATTATAGTTTTAATTTATTTTTTATATTTTAACGTTATCGGGTTCAAATCACAGACATCTATAAATATTTTTTGCACTTTTTCTACTTATTCGGTAGACTTTTTAAAAATGTTCGTTCATAAAAACTTTCTCCTGGCAATTCAGAACAGTTAAAAAAAAATTTCAGCCAAATCGGTCCAGACGTTGTTGAGTTATGCGCTTACCAACACATTTTGCGATTCATTTTTATATATAAGATATTGTAAAGTAAACAATATTCTATACAAAAATATAAAATAAACATATTATTTATATAGGTACCCATATTATCATAAAGTTAAAAATTATGTGTTAATAAAATTTTGGCCCGCTAAAAGCATTTGTTTTTTTTGTGGCCCTTGACTAAAAAAGTTTGGAGACCCCTGTTCTAGAAGGTTCTTCTTCTCTAGATTACGTCATTATTGTGTAATATTGCATCATGTTTTTCGGAGCTATAAATACAAGCCACTATTGAGTTTTGAGTCATTCGTGGGGCATACTGTAGCCGTTTTTAGGGCCGATTTCACAAACATAGTTAATCGCGGTTAACTCATCTTAATCACGATTAACAGTGATAACCAGAGATTTTCGATTTCACCAAACCCGGTTAAGCGTAACCGCTTCTTAATCACGATTAAAAACTAACCGCCCAATTTCGGCCGATTATCGTCCTTAATCGCGGTTAGTTTCCGGACATATTGATAATGTTATCAATTATTAAAATATTAACAAAATTATATGTAGCATAGTAATCGTTTTTGTTTAAACTTCAAGTGTTTTGTTAATTTGTTCTTTTATTTCGAATATAATATTTATATAAAACATGCAACGATCTAGTAAACGTGTTCTAAAAACGACGAAGACGAGCTTGTAATTTTCTCTATCCGCTGTCCTAGATGGATACGGGAGAGGGCCGAAGACTTCGAAAGTCTGGATGATCGGGATTTCATTACGAGGTACAGACTGACAAAACCGACAGTTTTGTCAATCCTGGAAAAAATAGAACATCATCTTGAGCATGAAACAGACAGGTCAGTCATTGAAGTTTGAGCTTATAATTACAAAACGCCTTCGATGTATAACAGTTTTTTTTTCGACAGGAATAACTGCATATCTCCGATTAATCAGTTATTATGCACACTACATTTCTATGCCACTGGAAGCTTTCAAACCACTACAGGGGATCTTTGTGGCTTTAGTTATTCAACTGTAAATAGGATAGTGCATAAAGTAAGTTGTACTATTGCTTCCTTGCGTAGTCAGTATATTAAATTTCCTGAAACACCAGAGGAAATAAGACAGACCCAGTTAAATTTTTACCAAAGAGCCAAGTTCCCAAGAGTCATCGGTGCTATTGACTGTACCCATGTGAAGTTGTGGCAATCACCAGGTATTTACAAAAATAATTAATATTTATACCTGTTTCTTCTATTAGTACCAGTAGGTACACCCGTAGACATATTTTTCTAATAATATGAATTTATTTATTTTATTTTAATTTTTACAAAATATAGTTACATTATAGTATTATACATTAGTGGTCTTTCTGAATTGCAGGTGGAGAATCCGCTGAGCGTTTTCGAAACCGAAAAGGTTATTTTTCGTTGAACGTTCAGGCGATATGCAACGCTAATCTAGAAATAATGGATGTAGTTGCAAGATATGATGGAAGCACTCATGACTCCAGAATATTTAGAGAGTCAAGAAGAAGTTTATTTGAGCAAGAAGCTTATGGGGACGCAGTACTGGTAGGATACAGTGGATATGCCTCTGCAAATTACATGATGACACCACTCAATGAATGCCACACACCAGCGGAAAACTTATATAATGAGTCACAGATAAGGACAAGAAATGTCATTGAAAGATTTTTTGGTATTTGGAAAAGACGTTTTCCAGTAATGGCTCTAGGTTTACGAGTAAAACTTATGCGTATATTCCCTATCATCACTGTAACATTAGTATTACATAATATTGCCCGAAGAGCTGGGGATTAAGTCCCCAGAGTATTTGATATGATACTCACTGCTCCTTGAGAAGAAATACTTGCCCAGGATAACATAGAAATTCAATATGTACCAAACCCCATTAATCGAAGAGTAACACAGCAAAACAGTGGGCGGCAGGCGTTAATAAATGATAACTTTGAGAGGTAAATTATGATTAAATATAATAATATTCATAGAAAATATAAACAGGGGTTGCAAATATTTTTAAAAGTATAAAAATATAGTTTCAATTAGAGTATCATTATACAAGTTGAATGCATCAATTGCATTATGTGGTAATGAATGATTTGGGCATTTGAATTTTTGGTACCATAAATCAAATTCGGCTACTGCAGCCTTAACAAAATTTTCTGGTATATCATTTTTATAAAATTCCAAAAGTTTTAAATACTGTGATTTTTTAGTTTGATTAGGAGAATTTCCAGTTGGTAGAAGGCACTTAAAACTTTTAATAACACATTTGTGCTTTAAAAACCGTTTATATATATTGTTTATAAAATAATTTAGCCATGGAATATTATTATGTAATATTTAACATACTTACATGAAAGTGTATTTAATAAATACTATATAAAATATATAAAATATTATATTATATAGTACATCTGTTAAATTTAATCTATGTTTATTTTAGAGTGTTTACCAATGTATTGTCAAACCTTTTTCTTTTTTTTTTGTTCCAGATTAATCACACATCAACAAATGGGTTAACTTAACTCTTGAATAGAGTATAAAACTGAGATTATAATAATAGATTTTTAAAATTGGCCATTATAATCATATAATATTTACTATAATAATTGGCGTATATATGGCGTTAGTACATTATTCACTCAAATCCTATAATCACTCAACTAAAAAAAAAAAAAGTAAAAATCGAAATTTGAATAAATATACACATTTTATTTAACAATAAATTAATTTTTATTTATATTTACTTTTCCTTGTTTAAGGAATACAACTGTCCAGTGTTTTTGAAACTTGGAATTAATTAGTTCAATTTAATTCTTAGTTGTATACATAATATATTATATGTTTATTTATAAGTATAACAAGATGAGAAAATAAAATTTTAAAGAAATATACATAATATATGTTTAATTTCGTGGACAGTTTCTCCGTGTATGACCTATAAAAATAATTTTAATAACAAATCATTTAGGTAGGTAATACATACGGCGTCGTCTTAAACATAATATTTAAAAAACTAAACATTTTAAAACAAAAATTAAAACAATAACTAATTATTAGTCTGTATTATCAACCCCATTGTTGTCGTCAAATACTTCTTATTAAATTCTGTTCCAGACTCACGCTGGATCTGGAGTTTGAGTAATTCAGTTTTAATTTTTTCTTGTTTTAATTTTTCATTTAAGATTTTCATTTGTAATTTATGCTCTTCTTCGGCATCCGTCCTTGATGCATCAAGACACAATTTTTTAGCTTTCAGAAATGTTTCTGATGCTGATGTCCTGGTCAAGGCTGGTCTTCTTCGTGACACTCCTTTTTTACCTTCAACATATGGACTTGATGCAGCTGTGGGCCGAATGTCCTCTGGCATATCAATATCAGGGGGAATTTTAGAAGTGGAAGGTATTGGTCTTGATTCTTGTGAAGTGTTGCGAAGGGCAGAGGATATTTGAGTCTTCATCATGGCGGGGTTGTACTGAGACCAATCATTTTGCAATAAAATGTAATTATTATCAAAATCATTGTTAATCATAGCCTGAAATAATACAAAAAGTTATGATGTATGCCAAAGTATAAGCTTTTTTTACTACAGAATCATCAATTAACTAATGGTACTGACCTCAGGACTCAACTCAACATGTTTAACAATAATTTCTTCATTTTCTTCAAACTGATTAGTATCTGTAATATATTGAAAGTTTAGTAAATTCATCTTAATAAATATTAATATCAAAATCTTGTATATATAATCAAATACACTTGAATTATACAAATATTTTTTATGTATCAGATAAGTCATCATATTGTTAATAGTTGAATATAGTTTTAAAAATATTTTAAACCAAAAACTACGTTTGAAAAACAATGAATTTCAAAATATACAATGGACGTAACTTTCTATGATAAAAAAGTGACATATGAATAAATATAATTCTATAGCAAATAACAATATCAATAACAAAAAGGTAGATACAATTAATAATCAGTAATTATAATAATAACTACACAAGTATATAACCATTATAAGCAATGACTATAGTATTTTTAACTATTAATGTAGACATACTAGTGGTGACATTGCTCCTGCACTCTTCATAATTATTGTCGTCATAAATACTATTAAAGGGTTCGACATTTGGCCGAATAAGACCAACAACTGCGTCCACTATTGGATCAGCTACTGATTTCTTAGCTTTTCCGCCTCCTACGAAAAAGATACAATATCAATTAATAGAAATACCAAATCATATGATTTATGTAATATGCATTTATTACCTGTGCCGTAAATGTTATCAGCTTGTATAGCCATTGCCGCCTTCGCCTTCCTTTTGAGATTGTCCCACAGCATTTTCAAGCTATGTGAGTCTCTTGAGTAAGTTGATGATGCTGCAGCGAATTTCTCCGCAATTTTTTGCCACTCGGCGTTTTTTAGTTTTATGCTTACCCCGTCTGTCTTTTTAGACTCTAT